TTATTGAGGATTTTTGCATCGATGTTCATCAGGGATATTGGTCTAAAACTCTCTTTTTTTTGTTGTGTCTCTGCCAGGCTTTGGTATCACGATGATGTTGGTCTCATAAAAAGAGTTAGTGAGGATTCCCTCTTTTTCTATTGATTGGAATAGTTTCAGAAGGAATGGTACCAGCTCCTCCTTGTACCTCTGGTAGAATTCGGCTGTGAATCCGTCTGGTCCTGGAATTTTTTTGGTTGGTAGGCTATTAATTATTGCCTCAATTTCAGAGCCTGTTATTGGAGTATTCAGGGATTCAACTTCTTCCTGGTTTAGTCTTGGGAGAGTGTAGGTGTCCAAGAATTCATCCATTTTTTTCTAGGTTTTCTAGTTTATTTGCGTAGAGGTGTTTATAGTATTCTTTGATGGTGGTCTGTATTTCTGTGGGGTTGGTGGTGATATCCCCTTTATCACTTTTTATTGCATCTATTTGATTCTTTTCTCTTCTTTATTAGTGTTGCTAGCGGTCTATCAATTTTGTTGATCTTTTCAAAAAAACAGCTCCTCTATTCATTGATTTTTTGAAGGGTTTTTGTGTCTCTATCTCCTTCAGTTATGCTCTGATCTATTACTTGCCTTCTGCTAGCTTTTGAATGTGTTTGCTCTTGCTTCTCTAGTTCTTTTAATTGTGACATTAGCGTGTCAATTTTAGATCTTTCCTGCCTTCTCTTGTGGACATTTAGTGCTATAAATTTCCCTCTACACACTGCTTTAAATGTGTCCCAGAGATTCTGGTATGTTGTATCTTTGTTCTCATTGGTTTCAAAGAACATCTTTATTTCTGCCTTCATTTCGTTATGTACCCAGTAGTCATTCAGGAGCAGGTTGTTCAGTTTCCACGTGGTTGGGAGTTTTCGATTTTCTTAATCCTGAGTTTTAGTTTGATTGCACTGTGGTTTGAGAGACAGTTTGTTACAATTTCTGTTCTTTTACATTTGCTGAGGAGTGCTTTACTTCCAACTATGTGATCAGTTTTGGAATAAGTGTGATGTGGTGCTGAGAAAAATGTACATTCTGTTGATTTGGGGTGGAGAATTCTGTAGATGTCTGTTAGGTCCACTTGGTGCAGAGTTGAGTTCAATTCCTAGATAATCCTAGTTAACTTTCTGTTTTGTTGATCTGTCTAATGTTGACAGTGGGGTGTTAAAGTCTCCCATTATTATTGTGTGGGAGTCTAAGTCTCTTTGTAAGTCTCTAAGGACTTGCTTTATGAATCTGGGTGCTCCTGTATTGGGTGCATATATATTTAGGGTAGTTAGCTCTTCTTGTTGAATTGATCCCTTTACCATTATGTAATGGCCTTGTCTCTTTTGATCTTTGTTGGTTTACAGTCTGTTTTATCAGAGACTAAGATTGCAACCCCTCACTTTGTTTTTGTTTTCCATTTGCTTGGTAGATCTTCCATCTCTTTATTTTGAGCCTACATGTGCCTCTGCACGTGAGATAGGTCTCCTGAATATAGCAAACTGATGGGTCTTGACTCTTTATCCAATTTGCCAGTCTGTTTTTTTTAATTGGAGCATTTAGCACATTTACATTTAAGGTTAATATTGTTATGTGTGAACTTGATCCTGTCATTATGATATTAGCTGGTTATTTTGCTCGTTAGTTGATGCAGTTTCTTCCTAGCATCGATGGTCTTTACATTTTGGCATGTTTTTGCAGTGGCTGGTACTGGCTGTTCCTTTCCAAGTTTAGTGCTTCCTTCAGGAGCTCTTGTCGGGCAGGCCTGGTGGTGACAAATCTCTCAGCATTTGCTTGTCTGTAGAGGATTTTATTTCTTCTTCACTTATGAAACTTTGTTTGGATGGATATGAAATTCTGGGTTGAAAATCCTTTTCTTTAAGAATGTTGAATACTGGCCCCCACTCTCTTCTGGCTTGTAGAGCTTCTGCCAAGAGATCCGCTGTTAGTCTGATGGGCTTCCCTTTGTGGGTAACCTGGCCCTTCTCTCTGGCTGCCCTTAACATTTCTTCCTTCATTTCAACTTTGGTGAATCTGACAATTATGTGTCTTGGAGTTGCTCTTCTCGAGGAGCATCTTTGTGGAGTTCTCTGTATTTCCTGAATTTGAACATTGGCCTGCCTTGCTAGGTTGGGGAAGTTCTCCTGGATAATATCCCACAGAGTGTTTTCCAACTTGGTTCCATTCTCCCCGTCACTTTCAGGTACACCAATCAGACATAGATTTGGTCTTTTCACATAGTCCCATATTTCTTGGAGGCTTTGTTCATTTCTTTTTACTCTTTTTTCCTCTAAACTTCGCTTCTCACTTCATTTCATGCATTTGATCTTCAATCACTGATACCCTTTCATCCAGTTGAGTCAGTTACTGAAGCTTGTGCATTTGTCACGTAGTTCTTGTGTCATGGTTTTCATCTCTATCAGGTTGTTTAAGGACTTCTCTACATTGGTTATTCTAGTTAGCCATTCATCAAATCTTTTTTCAAGGTTTTTAGCTTCTTTGTGCTGGGTTTGTACTTCCTCCTTTAGCTCAGAGAAGTTTGTTTGTCTGAAGCCTTCTTCTCTCAATTTGTCAAAGTCATTCTCCATCCAGCTTTGTTCCATTGCTGGCGAGGAGCTGCGTTCCTTTGGAGGGGGAGAGGTGCTCTGATTTTTAGAATTTTCAGCTTTTCTGTGCTGCTTTTTCCCCATCTTTGTGGTTTTATCTACCTTTGGTCTTTGATGATGGTGACATACAGATGGGGTTTTGGTGTGGATATCCTTTCTGTTTGTTAGTTTTCCTTCTAACAGTAAGGACCCTCAGCTGTAGGTCAGTTGGAGTTTGCTCGAGGTCCACTGCAGACCCTGTTTGCCTGCGTATCAGCAGCGGAGGCTGCAGAAGAGTGAATACTGCTAAACAGCAAATGTTGCTGCCTGATCGTTCCTCTGGAAGCTTCGTCTCAGAGGTGTACTTGGCCGTGTGAGGTGTGAGGTGTCAGTCTGCCCCTAGTGGGGGATGTCTCCCAGTTAGGGGATACTTGGGGATCAGGAACTCACTTGAGCAGGTAGTCTGTCAGTTCTCAGACCTCAAACTCTGTGCTGGGAGAATCACTACTCTCTTCAAAGCTGTCAGACAGGGACATTTACATCTGCAGAGGTTTCTGCTGCCTTTTGTTTGGCTATGCCCTGTCCCCAGAGGTGGAGTCTACAGAGGCAGGCAGGCCTCCTTGAGCTGCTGTGGGCTCCACCCAGTTTGAGCTTCCTGGCTGCTTTGTCTACCTACTTAAGATTCAGCAACAGTGGGTGCCCCTCCCCCAGCCTCCCTGATGCCTTGTAGTTCGATCTCAGACTGCTGTGCTAGCAATGAGGGAGGCTCCATGGGCGTGGGACCCTCTGAGCCAGGCGCGGGATATAATCTCCTGGTGTGCCATTTGCTAAGACCCTTGGTAAAGTGCAGTATTAGGGTGGGAGTGACCCAATTTTCCAGGTGTTGTGTGTCACGGTTTCCCTTGGCTAGGAAAGGGAATTCTCTGACCCCTTGCGCTTCCCGGGTGAGGCGATGCCTCATCCTGCTTCGGCTCTCACTCACTGGGCTGCACCCACTGTCCTGCACCCACTGTCCGACATGCCCCAGTGAGGTGAACCCGGTACCTCAGTTGGAAGTGCAGAAATCATCCGTCTTCTGTGTCGCTCACGCTGGGATCTGGAGGCTGGAGCTGTTCCTATTCGGCCATCTTGGAACCACCTCATAAATGCTGTTTTTAATTTTTGTGGCAGAGTTATGGTCAACAGCTCATCCCATCATTTGATATATGTCATGTAATCAGAAAGCCCTTTTCTTCTGGGTGCTTCTATGTCTACAAAAGTACACATTTCTATCTATACTATTTTAGTCAAAAACTGATTTATATTATTAATAAGCTATGTTACTGTCTACTAGATTACTGGCAATCATTAGAATCACCAGGAGAGCTTTGTGAAAAAAAATCCTGATTATCCTCATTCCTAATCACTATCTTTTTTTTTTTTGGGACGGAGTCTCACTCTGTCGCCTAGGCTGGAGTGCAGTGGCACGATCTCGGCTCACTGCAAGCTCTGCCTCCTGGGTTCACGCCATTCTCCTGACTCAGTCTCCCAAGTAGCTGGGACTATAGGCTCCTGCCCCCATGCCCAGCTAATTTTTTGTATTTTTAGTGGAGATGGGGTTTCACTGTGTTAGTCAGGATGGTCTCCATCTCCTCAGCTCGTGATCCAACCACCTCGGCCTCCCAAAGTGCTGGGATTACAGGCATGAATCACCATGCTCAGCCACTAATCACTGTCTCTTACCCACCAAGATTTTGATTTAGTAGGTCTTGGAAGGCACTTAGGATTTGTTTCTTTGTTTTACATTAATTCTGATGTGCAGCCAGGTTTGAAAACAGTTATAACTGATAGAAGTAAGAAGGTAGATAGTTCTGGGTATGCATCAGAATCAACTGAAGTACTTTTTAAGACATAAATTGCTGGGCCTTATCTCTACAGGTTCTGATACAGGTAGATTTGGAGGAAGTGCTAGGAATTTGCATTTCTAACATGTTTCCAATTGATAGTGATGCTACTGGTATAGGGACCACATTCTGAACATCACTAAACAGAGAACTAAAGGAGACTAGTGTTAGGCCTCAAGAAAGAAGTCTAAATAATGTATGTTGCAAGAGGGAGTACAGTAGCCCTTTTCTGATTATTGCTGAATACATTATCTAGACTGGAATCTCAGATGTTCACATCTGAGGACATCTAGGGCTTTGAGCAAGAGATTTCTTTTCCTAGCAGAAAGTTTATTTCTCTAAGTTTCCTGGTACATTTCCATGATGTTGTAATCACTGACTTGGGTTGAAGGTAGTTGTAACAGGGAGTTTCCACAAACTGAAGTCTTTACTCCTTTCTTTTCTTTTGTCACAGAAGCATATACACACACATACACACACATATTTGCAGAATATGAAGAAGCAAGTCTAGGAAAAACCTAGATGATACCTGTAGAAAGACCATTTTAGCAGAAATTGCCTGGCGGCTTTAGGAAAACTGGGTCTTCCTTCATAGGGTTTCAGTGCTTGCATCATCACATTGTCAAGCCACGCAGCCCACTGCTCCAGGGTGCTCTGCTGCTGAAGAGTCATCTTGAAATCTGTTTCTAGTCTCTGAACCATGTTGTCATCACACTGGCACACCCAGGAAGCCTGCTCCTGAGACAGTAACACAGAAAGCAAAGGAAAAGTTCAACTCAGCATCCTTTCATTGAACATCAGCACACACACCAGATGCAAGAACAGAGCTTCACACAGTTAAATGAATCCAGAAAATAAAAAACTACTGTCAATTGTTAGGGTAACACAATCTTTATCAGTTTTAAGGGATGAATATTTCTTGTTGCTCACTCTGGTACATAAAAAAGTGATGTCACATGTAAGTATGATTTGGTTTTTCTACATTAACTAGTCTGTGTAAAAGACTAAAATACATGATTACTTCAAAAAACAGAAGTCTGAACCTACAGTAGGCAGGGTCTTTCATTCTATTCAGCTTTCACACTGCTTTCAGAAGTTCTCTTTTTGTTCCCCATCAGATAAAACTTTAAAACCAATTCATTTGAGAAGATTTAGGGTAAATCAGACAGATAAACAGATACAATCGGCCAAAAGTGGTCCCCTCAAGATTAAAACAGAAACAAACACTGAATGGTACTAGGTAGAAGCATATGCTGTTATGAGTTCTATGGATTGGGAACAGAAATCTCAAGGGCTATCAAGGCAAGGCTATGAATGCAAATTAATTCAGAGAACTGAAAACAACAATAACAACAACAACAAAAAATCTTTTGAGAAAATGTAGACATGCTTCCTGCCAAAAAATGTGATTATTGCAATTTTCCTTCTGGTTCTGGTTGGGAAATGTTTGGTAACAGCAATGAAAATAGCAAATTTTAAAGCTACTTTTCAGTGGTTGCCATAAGTATTGTGATGTCTCCAGTGCTATGTTGTATTTTAAGATTTAAAAAAACCTATTCATTCAAGGCAAAACATAATTATTTGGTAATGTAATATTTGACGGGGAATGAGAAGACATAGGCTTTAGGGTCTGAATTAACAAAACTAACCTCGAGCAATTAATTTAGGTGGGCCTCAGTTTCCCTAAGCATAAAATTAAACAAATGAAATCTAATGAAAAATTTTAAGCTGGGTTCGTTGTGTCCAGATAATTTTGTCAAGACAGATTTCTTTGGAGAAGTGTCTATGAGGCTCCCAATAAAACCCTGTGAATATATACGTATTTTTCTCAAAAGGGTGTCTATAGTTTTTTTTTTCTATATGCTCTCAAAAAAACAAATTCATTCAAATTGACAACTTCAACGGAATAAATCCATTATCTCCTTCTTCTAGTTCCAGGATCTCTCCTGATCCTACAGACTTTACCTATTCAAGGGACATTTCAACCTGGAGGCACTTCAAATGCAAAATGCCCCAAACTTAACTTATTTTAAATTCTCAGGGAAACCTACTGTTTCTTCTGTATCTCAGCTGATGATATTATTCACTGTCTTTTTTCTCTTAACTAATTAATCATAAATCCATTCAGATGTTACCTTCTGAATACCACTTTTAAATATTTTAAGTATACTAAAATATAATTATAGAAAAAACTGTAAATACAAACAAGCTAAAAAGGAACAAAACATTAAGAATACTTAAAATGGCAACAGTAAGAAATTATGGCATGTCATGCTGATGTATGTACCTTTCAAACTTTTCTCTGCATATATAAATATATATATTTATGCATATATTATAATACACACATACACTATATTATTTATGCATACATTTATATTTTAAATATATATTTGTAATATAAAACACTCATATTTATACATACATTTTATATTATTATATGCTTATACATACTTAAATGTTTAAAATAAAAGAGGATCATATTATATTTTCTATTAGATATTCTGATTAGTTTCACTTAGAAATATATAGTAACCATCTTTCCATGTAGGCAAATTAGACCTATATTTATTGTCCACTGAATGAATTTGTTTTATTGCATAATGTACTATTATTTATATAACCAATCCCACATAGTTAGACATTTGTTTGATTTGTTTGTTCCAACATTTTAGTATTACAAATAAAGCTGAAATTAGCAGGATAGGTTTTTTTGTTTGTTTGCACATTGATAACTGGAAGGAGAAACTTACTAGTATCCATGAAGCAATTTAATTTCATATCTTACCATAAATTCAAACTCACTATTTACTTGGCAGTTAGTTTTTGCCAAGAAAAGATGATAATCTAAAACCTAACTTAGAGAAATAAACCACAGCACATTATTCTGACTTTTCAAACTAATTATACTTCATTTTACTACTCTCTTCAGTGAAAATATACTAACAATAGAGCACATTGTAAATATTTCCCTGTGAAACGAATGTAGATATTTCAAGTCTATAATTGAAAAAGCTAAGGACATTTACAGATGTTCTTAACTTAGAAAAAAATATATATCCAAAATGAAAAGTAGTCAGGAGCTTCAAAATCAGAATGCTTTTAAATACAGAAACATAAGTATATGCAATAGCTAAGTTATCAAGTCAGCCCACCCAAACCTATTTAGCCCATAATGTGGACTTCAAAAACCACCCATTTACACAAAAAAATTAGAGAATGATGCCATTGTAATACTATCAATTAAACAGGAAACCAACTGTACTGCAATAGAAAAATTATCTTAAATGCATGAAGAAAAGAAATTTTAATTAGAGAAGAATAGAGCAGTAAAAAGTGATATATGGATATCCTGAAAGGAACTTTTTAGCACTTTCAAGCTCTTAGTGTATTATAATATTGACACACATGTAATTTCATTGTTTTAAATAGAAGTCTCCTTATTACAAGAGCATCATTCGTATATTGTCAGATTATTGAGGTTCATGTTACAGGAGTTGGGACAACTTCCAAATGAACTGGAGATGGGGATAAAGGTGAAAAGGGAGGAAAGGGACTCTGGGAAAATCTGGCAAAACTAGGAAAAGAAAAGGAAAGAAATAAGGGTGTTAAAGACGAAAAGTGCTACCTTGAGAAAGAGATTACTCATTAAAATGTACAGAGCTGTGAAAAGTAAAATGTAGGGGGAAATGAAGGACTCACTACAGTGTCATGGTACTCTGAAAAAAGGAAGAAGGTTTTGGAGGGCAGATGCTGAATCATACGGGTTTCAGCAGTAATGACTATCATGGTGGACCCAGAAAAACATGATAGTCAAAAATAGGAAAAGAAAGGGTATTCTCAAAGTTGGCAGGTAGAGGATAAGTAGTACAGTAGACATATCACTGATCATTAATATGCAAAGATGTTCTCAAAGTTAATGCTTATAACCAGGGAAGAACTCATTTGTAGAAATACTTCATTGGAATGCAGATACACAAATACATTTATGTATTTATACATATAATAATACTAACAGAACACTGAAAAACTTTCTCAGATATTATTAGAAATAATTCTTTAAAATGTTTTCTGTTATTGAGTTTAAATTACTTTCTGAAACTAGAAGCTGCCTTCTTCAACTTTTCTTAAGACACTTTTAAACTTTTCTGAAAAAAGATTTGAAATAAATATTACAGTAAATTTTAAGGCAATATAAACTGTTAATATTTTTGCATATTTAGTTAATATATCCTACTGAAATATGTAAAGTAAATGGTTTTGTAAAGCTGAGAAAGTTTGTTCTTGTAAAGATTATGTACTTGTATGTGTGTATGTGTTTTTGTAGATGGATAGATATTTTTTAAAACTTCATATATATAGTTTTACATTAGATACAAATAATATAAAATATTAGATATCGATCTCTCTCTCTATATATATCTCAGATGTTTGAACCCAGTCCATGAAAATCACAATGAACAACTAATTTATTGTACTCTAAAATGGATCAAGCCCAAATGTTACTTTTTGGTATATTTTAAATGACAAAACTAGGCAAGAAGTAGAAATTAAAATTTCTAGAAAATAAAATAATTAACAATTAGCTTATTTTTAAAACAACAGTATTGTTTTTTAACAGCTTTACTGAAATGTAATTCACACATTATACAGTTCATTCATCTAAAGAATACTATTCAAAGGTTTCTTCTAGTATATTCGCAAAGTTGTACATCACTCACCACAATCAATTTTACACCTTTTTCATTTTTCTAAAAATAAACCCCATGACTCTTATTTGTTACCTCCCAGTCTTCTCAATCCCCCAGCCCTAAGTAACCACCAATCTATCTTCTGTCTGTATAGATTTATCTATTCTGGAATTTCATATGAATGGAATCACGGAACATGTGATCCTTTGTACCTGGCTTCTTTCACTTAGCATAATGTTTCCAAGGTTCGTCTATGTTGCAGAATGAATCAGAACTTCATTTCTTTTTATTGCCCAATAATATTCCATTGAATGGATAGATCACATTTTGTTTATCTATTAAATCAGTTGACAAACATTTGGGTTGTTTCTGCTTTTATGTGGCTGATATAAATAGTGCTGCTATGTACCTCTATGTGTAAGTTTTGTGTGGACATGATTTCATTTCTCCTGGGTATACAACAAGGAGTGGAATTGCTGAGTCATATGGTAACTCTATGTTTATCTTTTTGATAAACTGCCACACTGTTTCCCAAAGTGGCTACAGCATTGTATATTCTGACCAGCAGTGTATGAGGTTCCAATTGTTTACATCCTCACCAATAGGATATGTTATTACATGTCTTTTTGCTTAGACCCATTTTAGAGTAAATGAAATGGTACCTCGCTGTGGTTTTGACTTGTATTTCCCTTGTGGCTAACGAGATTGAGCATCTTTTAATGTGATTCTTGGCCATTTGTCTGTTTTCTTTGGGGAAATGTCTACTCAGATGTTTGTCCATATTTAATCAGGCTGTCTTTTATTACTGGGTTGTAATGGTTCTTTACATATTCTATAAACAAATCCTTTATCACATATATGATTTGCAAAAATCTTCTCACATTCTGTGGGTTGTCATTTCGTGTTCTCGATGGTCTCTTTTGAAACCCCAAAGTTTTAAATGTTGATTACGTACAATTTATGTATTTTTCCTTTTGTTGCTTATGCTTTTGGTAGACAATGATATTGTTTTTATAGGGTAACATTTAGATTCATTACTTTAGAACCAGAAATAAAGTAGTGATTGATATTGAAATTCTATAATACTGTTTCTAACTCAGCTTTTAAAGTGTACTTTAAAGTACAAGTGGGTAATGTGATCACAAGGTTAAACAATATTTTTCATTTGAACTATCACAAGAGCCGAACTTACTGCCTATAATTCTTTTTAAGTGAATAAGTATTTACTAGGCAGCTATAGTAAACTCTGAAATAGAATTGTTCTTAGTTCTTTCAAGGAGGGGCACTAAAATAGAAGTATCTATGCATGTCATGGTACAAATTATTAAATATATAAACAATAATCTAAGATAGGTGTTATAAGGTGGGGAAAATGAAGCCTACAGTAGTTAAGTAACTTGCCCAAGATCCCACAGCTAGTATATGAAAGAGTTTAACTTCTTGCCTGTCTTACTTCAATGACTGTGACCTTTATTACTCTACTAACTATTCAGCAAACACTGGTGATATGTTGTCTTTTAGGACTGTAAATGTGAGCTTACTTTAACCACAAACATGGGAGCGGTATAGCTGTATCTGGGTCAAACTTCTCTCTTTCAGGACACTGTGAATATAGATGCTGCCGGTATATAGATGAGACTTTGAAAAGAAATTTGATGATCCTAATTAAGAAGAACAAACTGGGTACCTTGCCTTAAGAGACATACTTTGCAAGGAAATAGAGTACCTGGACATTGGCAAAGTCGACACGGTTGAGGTCATTAAGCATCTGGTTGATTTGGGAAGTGTTCTGAAGCACTGCACGAGCTGCCTGGGCCAGGTGATTGAGCGACGTGTATCTTCGCAGAGTCTGGGCAAAGGCACTTACAGCGGCAACCTGTAAAGCAATCCAATTAAGTTGGGATTCTGTTTTCTCCAGTAAAACAAACCACTGCAATCTTCAAATCTTTTTTCCCTTGCCAAATTTTAAATGCTTGCCTCTGATACTTATTTAAAATTCATTTGGTGAGAGAGTTTACTTGTAAATTATAGCATTTAAATCTCTAAACCAAGTATTATTTTCCTTTTGAGTAGGTTGAGGTCAAGACTAAAACAAACTCCCACATTCTTTGACATCTGAGTGTAGCATTAATTAAATCAGTCTTGCAAGTAACTTCTTATCCACGGTAAGCAGGAAAAATGTTGGTTTTCATTTCTTTTTTTACTGCTCTTTGGACAGTCAAGTACAAAGTAGGCAAATTTTAAAAGTAGGGATGTGCAGTTTGGCTTTTCAAATAAAAAGAGATCTGGACATTCCTACTCTAAACTGACTTTAAAAACGCATGTCAGAGCATTACCATTCAGATTTATTCTTGCTACCTTTATTTTATAGAAACGAGTAATTTTGAGGTGAAATTACCAGAGGCAAACAACCAGAATAACCCTTTTTCAGAATTACAGCTTCTTTAAAACGGCTATGCAGGAAGTTTCTATTTGTCTCTCAAAATCTACTTTCCATTTTTCTTCATCTTGAAGATTGATCTGAATGGACCACATTAACCTCCCTCCTTGTTCTCTGGCTTCCACTTGGGTTTGACCAATGACAGGCACTATCAGGAGACTGAAGGATGGGAAGAAAGAGTGGTTACCATGGTACCTATTCACTACAACCTCTGCTTGCTGCCTGTTAAGAGTGGAGCCTGCTTTCCTTTTCTAATGTTACCACAGTCCTGAGGGAAAGAGTGGAATTCCTAATGCCATAGCTTTTACCTCTCACCCCTTCATTCCTAGGGATGGTTAGGATTCTCACTATTGCTAGCCCTGGGATGCTTTACTATTCCTCCTTGGTTTTATCAACTTTGTTCATACCTTTGGAAATAAGCTCTTCTTAAACTCTCTTAGATTATCCCCACCTTTGGGTGCATGATTTGTTTCCTGTTCACACCCTGAATAAAGCAGTTTTTTTGAAAGATAGCAAAGATAATGCAAAAAGTCTACATAAAGTCTACATTATCTCATGGAAATTTGTTATGTGCACAATACAGATCTAATAATTTTAATCTTTTAAAAATATATTTTAAAAATGGACAATTTACAGGAATGTATAATATTGCACTCAATCACTTATATGGGTATATAAGGTGTGAGTAGTTGAATGATCATTTGGGAGTGGTAGACGGTGTTCACAGGGAACAGGATGCTCTATCCTGACAGTGAGATGTTTGAGGACTATTTGGAACTTGGGGAGAAGCTCACACATACTCAAAAAAGAATCTTATTCCATTTTTGTGGTTTAAATTAATCCAGTATATACTATGTGCCAGGCTCTGGATTAAGTGCCTTACATATATTATCCTATTCAAATCTCTTAACTATCTTATTAGACACATATGATTTAAAGAAGATAAGTAGCTTGCTCAAGGTTGCAAAGAAACTCCATTAGTGATGGGAATTGACCTGGGCATTTTGATTCCAAAAGCCACAGAAGTTGGAATGCTGTTTTCTCTGTCAGGGTAAATTATCTCTATTAATTGAATGCGGAGAGGAAAAGAGACTGCATATCAGTGAAACCAGAAGAACAGACGGCACCCTCTACTGTGGTGAATCATTCTGGTGAATCATTCAAGCAAACTCTGGAGGTCAATGAGAAGGCCAATGTTGCAACTGGATTGTTACCACATTCACTTTGACAACATTGGGAAGGGAAGTGCTTTTAGCTGTTTGAGGCATTGTTATAAATGTGACCGAAAGTTGAAAGGATTCCTCGATCATAATGAAAGACCACCTCCTTTTTTGCACACCTCAATGTGGTACTTTACAACAGCACTGCCAAAGAGAAGAACTACCTGCAATGATGGACATGCTCTACATATATGCTGCCTAACATGGGTAGCCAGCAGCCAGAGGAGGCTACTGAGCACTCGAAATGTAACAAGTGTGACTGAGGAGCTAAATTTTTCATTTCACTTAATTTAAAATTCTAATTTAAATAGCCACATGAGGCTGGCCCTACTGTGACAGCACAGCTCTAGAGGAACATTCTAATATGGGCATATCAGTGAAATGTTGCCTTCTATATATGTTTTAGAGAGAGAAAGTTTTATTGCAAACGTTAAGCCCAAGTGAACGAACTGGAGGCTACTTATGTTCCCACAGAGGTTTATCAGCTAAAATAACTTCAATTGACCAACTCTGCCCCCAGATTCAAAGGCAAAGTATATTGCTGGAGTCTGACAGTAAATACAGTCATTGACAAGAAGCCACAAATGTGATTTCTGGTACCAAAATTTAAATAAAATTTAGGATTAGTCCAATCTTGCTATGGGGATATGTTCACAGATTAACTGAAAGTAACATGGCTAGTAGGAGACAAAGTAGAGACTAAAATTTATATCTCTAGCTAAATAATCCACATTCCTGAGATATATTGATTAATTACGAGTTAATTGTTCACTTGATTCACAAAAGCATCCTCCAGTGTTTAGAAAAACACCAAAACATCCTGAAAAAGCAAAACAATATTAATTTCTATGAACTTTTCAGGATATGATAGGTACAGTAAGAAATTTTAGAAATAGAAAATTCCTTCAAATGAAAACTATTTGAATATTCTAGGCTATTATTTTAATATCTGAAATTAAACACATAGTTTATATCTTTCTTATATATATAATTTAGAATATATATACCTAATATATTGTTTAGAAAGGGCTTGTAAATGCACCACGCTTGAAGTGCTTCCCTATTCTCTTTGAAAGGAACATTGCCAAACATCTCTTGTGCAAGTTCTTTATTACATGGTTATAAAATACAAATATAAAAATCAGTTTTAAAAGATGATGTATATTATAACCTTAACATTTTACATAATACCGTTTGATAGGATAGATGTAAAGTTCACAGTTCAGAATAATTTCCTAAACACAAAAGAAAAAGCAAGGACATAAAGTATACCTTGGTTTGTATCATTCTCTGTGGAATGTTGTTCATGGCATTGGAAAGCCAACCTTCAAGGCTTTTTGCAAAATTTCGAATGGCTTGGGTCAAGGCACCTAAACATTAAAGAATAAAAGCAGAATAAAAAAGGTATGAAAGAATATTAATTTTTGTGCTAGAATAAAAGAAAATGCTCGTACACAATATCTGATATAGCACAGAACTCATATTGTCCTCATTGATAAAACTTTATTTAACATTATTCCTAATTTTTAAAGCATCCAAGAATTATATTTTGGGCTTTTTCTTTTAAAGTTATTTTGTTCCCGGATACTTGTGACACTTTTTTGGGAAAAAAAGGATTCAAACATTTTTGCTTACAGCAACATATACCAGTTGTGAATATACTTATAGAATATTCTTGCTTGGAAAAAACACTCCTTTCATTAACAGTTTTGTGCTAAAGATTATGTATTTTCTTTAAAATTCTTCGTCTTGTTCTTTCAAGCTCTTAATCTATTTCCATTTCTTTTATTAAAAAGAAAAATAATGCAAAGCTTTCTCTGTTTCTCTATGCATCTATTTACTTAGAATCTATGAATTGGAGTAATTCTCTCTCATCCTTGTTGAAAAGGTAAAAATTAAAATTGTCTGAATTGAAATTTTTGGGTAATTATTTTCCATTTCATTTGGCAGGTAGAGATAAAAGATCAGTATGATAAAATTGCTGTTAGGGAAACCCATATTCTTAAGATATTCCTAAAATAGCTCATTCTGTATTCTTGACATATCTGTTAAAACCTGAAATAGGGACAGGTCCCATGACAGAAGATTTGATGGTGGTCATAAAATAATTAGAAGCATCTTCAGTTATCAGTGATGACTATGACTATTTAATAAGAAAAAATCTGCTTACTGAGATTGCTATATAGTAGGAGACAGAATACTTTTCTTGTACAACAAGTAATTCAGTTAATAGTATTTTACTTCCTCTGTGCCCAAGGCTCCATAGTAGTATAGAGGACAATTATAGACATTTAATAGATAAGTGCTTGAAGCACCCACAACATAAAATTCATCTTTGTAGGTTCTCTATAATGGGGTAGGTATCAAAATATGCTACTATAAGAAACACAGTTATATTTTGGGCCAAGGTCCCCAAGAATATTAATGTTACTGATGGGCTTAAATTCCTTGGTTTTTCTTTCTGTTGTCAAATGAGTCTGACATGATTCTCTATGCTTCTGTTAAAACCAGGTTTTATAAATAATTTCACTTAAGTTATTTGCAAACAATATAAATTTTACTATTCCAATAATAAAGACAACTAAATGCATTTTTAAGAGATTTGTTTAACTGTTAAAAACTGGAGAGACGAGACTGGAACGGGCTAAATTTTGGTTAGGAAAAACACTCAAGCAGTGCAGATCCTTAACCACAAGGATCATAACTGGAAACACTGAATTGGAAATTTCTTGAGAACCAATCTTTTGAAACCTTCAAAGCTTCCCACATTAGCCAAAAAAGGAAAAAAGAAAGAAAAATATTTTTCTGTTGTATTATGTGCTAAAACCATGGAGGGCAGGCATGAATGGAAATGAAAAAGAGTGAAAAAAAATTAATAATCCCTTTTGAAACAGTAAAATTTTGTTCAAGGTTCATTTTGGCAATCTGCATTTTCCATTTTTCCTACAATTAATATATAATAATTATTTAATCTGAAAAATAACCCCCAAATCTATAAATGTTACTTAAAAAATATTTATTATGGGCCTGTTTTATCTAGATAAATTTAATGCAAGGGTGATTAGATAAGAAAAGATATATTTTGCATTTTAAATAATTGTGAATTTTCACTTTTTCTACTAAATGATATTCTGGGCCACCTTTGGTTATACTTGTAATTGTACATTTAAGTGTTACCCATTGAGTGCTCATACAATTAACGTTTTTTCACTTTCAGATAAATGTATTTTAGAATATAGTAGCTTCAAGCTGACATTAAATTAGTGTGATGTGCAGACTTTTTTTTAGCTAAAAAAAGAAATCCCATCTGGACAGAAAATGGTACAGTGAAGTGCTAGTAGCCAGGAAAATACAATTTTTAAAAATAAAATTAAGTTTGCTCTCTCTATAGGGATTCATGTATGTACAAAATTGTGCAGATTGACTCTGACAACTTTCAAAGGCTCATGAATGGATGGTTTGGAATTTAAATTCTATTCCAAAGCTGACTTGTCTCAACCTGCTCAAGATTAATATTAAAATGCATACAACCAGAAAACAGCTATCTAAGTTGTATTTTAAGCTTTATTTTGTTACACCTCATTGTAGAATGGGAATTAAATTTCCAAATTTCCTTGGTAGGATGGTATATCAATGCATCTTATAATTTCAGAGAGAGTATAAAACTATTTGGGCGTCTGCTTAATTTAGAGACAAGCTATTTGACAGAATAAACTGTTTTTAAAAATCAAAATTTGCAAAAGACAAAGGTCAGTGTGTTGTGTACTTAAAATTATGGGCTTGAATTAAACTAAAATTGATACAAGATTTAAAATAGAGAACTGTTAAACTCACAAGTTAAAGTCTTATGGTGCTGTTATAGAAGCAAAAGATGTTAGAACTGTTTAATGAATACTGATGTTGCTGATTTGCCTCAAAAAAGAAAGTACTTGCTGACATCCCTTCTTTTATCTCATGAGAAAAACTTTATGTTGGTAGTAAGATGTCAGAGGCTAACGAGCTACTCTATGCAACTTCTCATAAACATCTCTAGAGATTATCACTCAGAACACAGGGAGCAAGAGAAAAACAAGGAAAATCCGATTCTGGAACATAAATCAGTAGAGAGTTTACTAGTGAAACTTTCCATAACACCATTTTTAATCAACCTTTAGTCAGGAAACTTGGTGATAGAGTAGACTATATTAGCAATTTACAAAATTGTGAGATAATGTCAGCTAAGTTTTTTTTTAATTTCTTCCTATATAAATTTATGTGTGTTCATTAATATTATCTGGAAATATGTTTAAGCATATATTTTAAGGTGGTCGGGAACATATTAAAGATCTTATACCTTCTACTGCTGTCTATTGTTATTTAGAAAAAAAGAAAGTATAAGCATACAAATGTTAATATCTTCCCCTTTTGTTCTACTAAATTCCTATTTTTGTATTTTCTAGAATAATTTAACACAAATCATCTGTGAATAGTATAAGTACACAGTAGCCAATTTCACAAGCTCTACGCTTGCTTTTACTTTATTAGTGTCAATGCAGAGTAGAAACTGTCTCAATTCTTAAAAAGTTAAGGTCACTAGTGTGTACTCATATAGATGTAGGCATAAAATAGTTTCAGCTGCTTCTAACAGTATCTGTGGTAGCATTTATATCATTGATATTTGCAGAAAATAGCTTTGTTTGCTACAAAGTAGTTTAAAAAGCACCATCACTTAAAAAGATAATCTAACCTATCTATGTAATTCCCATTTTCTTGGTAGTGGGATTACAATGCTTGTGTAGTTACAAAGATTTTTCTCTTAAAATGCCAGTTAACCATTACTGTTAATGGAAACTGCATTTGTAGTTCTTAACATGATGTAGGTGACAAAGTAAATGCTTTTATAATGGAATTCAACTTCAGTGGAAATCAAGATAGATTCACTTCAAATCAAAAGCAACCAAGAAGGAGGTTGGCCTAGCAATTACAGGTTTCCATAATTTTTGGCTTTATGAAGGGGACTGTGTCCTTGGGTAGAATAATTTTGACATGGTTGACCGGCCTGCTAGTGTTCTTGCAATTAGTTTACTTGGGTTGTTACATCTACAGGTTGGCTTTTTTATCAAAAAAAAAAAAAAAGAAAAGAAAAGGAAGAAAGAAAGAAAAAAAAGAAAAACATAAGACAGACTGAAAAATAGATCATCTTTTCCCTTTTACTACTGTTTTGCTCTAGGCTGCTTTCACGCAATACTCTGTGTTGCATGTTTTCTATCTGGCATATCTAAATGAAATTAGAATCATTATAGATTGCAATGTCACTTCTCAAAACTTCCTGGGTGGAATGTATGAGAACAAAAGCATCCGTACTCGTCTGCATTTAACTTACTAGGAATAGGTCTAAGGACGTCGGGGATGAGAATCTCCACCAAAGCCTGGTACATCCCATGGTCACAGTTACACATCCATTTCAGGATAGACTCATGTTTGCACAGAGTTATCAGCTTTGCTTTCGGAAGTCGACTTTCTATTTCACTCAGATTGCTGGTGTGAATAAATGTAGCAAATGAATAGATGGCAAATGAGGATAAAAAAGAAAATGGACTTTAAAAATAGTTTAAGTTTACCAAATATTACTGAGGTTAGAACTATACCACCATTGCACTGGTGCCATACAGCTGGCTATATATATATAGAGAGAGAGAGAGACAGATATATAAAACACTCCCCCAGAGCTGTCTATGCACATTCGTATTTTCTGACGGTATGAAAGGCAGATATGATAGTAATTCCATGAGGATGAAATAACTACCACAGTCCCCCAAATCAATACAAATGGGAGCTATATACACACACTGAAACCTCAAGAGAGCAGTTCGTGGTTTATTTCTAGGATGGCCAAAACATCAATCTATTCACTTAATGTCATCAGGTAAGGTTCACAACTGGTATACATATCTCTAATTTATTAGCTGTGACATCTACTCAGCCATGAAAATGAATTGGAAAAGATGTTGATTCTGACCTCGATTCAGTAATAGTAGTGCCATCAGTTGGAGTAGAGGGAGAATAGCGCCAGAATGTTTGCCACAATTTTTCTATCAGGCTAAATTGAAGATTCACAACAACGTCCAATATTGCCTAAAAAACAAAATGGTACCAGTATTACCTTACAATATTACTTATGGGACTGTGTGAGGACAACCTAACATGACAAGATTTTATATGGTCAAGTTCTCCCTTGGGGTCATAAGTTAACATAGTGAAACCACACTAAATTTTACCAAAGGAAGTGGAAGAAAAACAAAAAACAAACCAACAAAAAAACTAGCTAGCAAGAAGATAAAGGGGGGAAAAAAACTCTTGGAAAATTAAGCAGGATAACATTCTTTTCATAATGTACTCATGCCACCCTCACTTCTACCTCTTTTTTCTTCCAGTTTTCATTCTTACTTTCCTTCCTCTCTAGTTACATTCATTCATTCATTCATTCCTTTACCTACTGCTTTCTTCTGCCTCTACAGTTACTGTCACCCTACCTATTCTCAGACCTGGAAGGGTATAGAACATAGATTCAATTTACAGCAGTCCTCTTAGGGCTAGGTAACCACTGGCCATCAAAGTGGGTGGAAGTGAAGGGTGTGGAGTCGCTTTTGTGTGGCAGATGGAGTTAGGGCTGAACTAGCTTTGTCTAAGGAAGCTGACCACGGGTTCCAGTGTGTTCCCAGGTAAACAGAGGCTGGGGCAGAAACCATGGAGTCAGCAGGCCTTCAGTGGATACTGCCTGTCTGGGTATAGCATTCAACATTAAAGAGAATCCAATCCTATCTCTGTACATCTCCTTTACAGAACAACCTTAAGACTATCTACTTTTCAAATCTCGGGGGCCTCACCTCCTCTTTCTCCTTAATTTAATCTCCTGGAACTATTTCCCAGATGCATCAAAGACTTTTTTTTTTATGGTGTTTAAATCTACCACTTTCCCTATTAACTGTCAATGATGATATTTAATTTTACCCTGCCTTTGCAATTAGTTTGTAAATAAGTCTTCAGGTAAAAGCAGGCATAAAACTAAAGAATAATTTGTTGGTGCCAATAACACATGATTGTGTGATTATTTTGGGAATTAAAAGACAAAGGTAGTCAGTATAGTATGATTGATGTCATCACCTTTGAGGCGAAGGTAAAACAGCCCCACAAATATCTATAAAATTCATGGAAGATAAAATAAATCGGGGGACAATCTAGAGAGTCTATCAGAGTAATGTAGGCAAAAACAGCAACCATAACTTCATATTTGTCGAGTTTGGGCCACCTGTATAGAGCTGGCCCTATGCATGATACAGAGAATAACTGATATGAAATATGTTCTAAAAGTATAAAATGTTGCAAGTAGTTAAATATTGAAAATGAAGATAGGGAGACAAATTAATTAACACAGTCCTCAGTAACAATAAAAATGCAAAATGCAAGTCCTGAAAATAAAGGGGATGTAGATGTCCCTCATCCCAGCAAAGATCAAAATATTCTCAAGCAGCAAATATTTTAACTGCTTTCTCAATTGTAGCTTAGGCACATTCCAAGAGACATCTCTAAAAGTGTGAGGCAACTATTAATACCTTATACATAATACCTTACATAGTTCTATATAAGAGATTGCTGTAAGAACACTTTTCTTTTAACCTACACTAAAATTAAAAAGTGTTTCAGCAACTTGTATAAAAAGTTATACTTGTTCCTTATATAACAAACTAGTGATACAAAAATATCTTTGATAAACAAATTGTGAGAATTCCCAATAATAGGCAAAGTAGGTATATTAATCTTTCTTTAAAAATATGTACTGTAGGAAATGTGAAATATAATCAGTGTATCTTAAATTCAGTATCTCTTCAAATTAAATAATCTCAAATAACTCTTTCAAAAAAGACATTCATAACAGCTTCATTTGAGGCAGTTTTACACATGAATAAAACATTTTATCATTTGTCCACCTACTTTCAAATATGTTCAGACTAAAATATATAGGCAAATATAAATTAAAATAATCCATATTCTACTGGCTTAGGGCAAATGACTATGGGACTACATATGAGATTCAGGCAGCTGTATTTCAAAAGTTTTTTCATATTTATTCAAAATGAATATTTATTAACAGGAAAAAATAATTAGCATTTTTCTTTTTTATATATGCAGCTCAGCCCCGTGAGAGAGATGGCATGAACACTGGTAATTCTGAAATAAATGGGGATCATTCTGTGGACTGCCATTTTCCACACAGATTATAATACATGCCTCTATTTCTTCGTATAAAGTATATTTATTTTTGAAAATGGTATGTTAATAAAAATCTTATAATCCAAAGGCTCTTTCAACCTTATTCAGGCGAGTTTGTCACTTAGAATAATCTTACTGTATGTTTTGTAGCAATATAAATAATTATGCTCCAACTTACATTTTGAATAAATAGGAGAAATTTTTAAAAAATCCATCATAGGTTGGGCGTGGTGGCTCATGCCTGTAATACCAGCAATTTTGGGAGGCTGAGGCGGGTGGATCACTTGAGGTCAGGAGTTCAAAACCAGCCTAGCCAACACAGTGAAACCCCATCTTTACTAAAAATACACAAAGTTAGTGGGGCATAGTGGTGCATGCCTGTAATCCCAGCTACTGGGGAGGCTGAGGCAGGAGAATCGCTTGAACCCAGGAGGTGGTGGTTACAGCAAGCTGAGATTGCACTACTGCACTCCAGCCTGGGTGACAGAGTGGGACTCTGTCTCAAAAAAAAAAAAAAAATCCATATAGGTTGATTTGCTTAAAGCAAGGTTCACTTGAACACGCAGGAATGAGAAATTGTTTAGAGAATCTTTATACAAATCTTTATTGAATAAGATGATAGATGTAGAAAGAAATAATTTTTTTCTATATACATAAGGAAAATCCAGAACTTCTCTAATATGGGTAAAAGCATAGTAGTCAAAGGAAAATGAATATTAAGTGCTTTCATCATTCCAAGAAATGTTGGGAACCGGTAGGGCACGTTGAAGAACACTTCTGGAACATGCTATGTTAATAAGGAGAGAACCTGCCCTCAGTTGTTAATAATCTAGTATCCTTGACAAGCACTCAGATTTGCTCTAGCAATTCTTATTTCTGAAGTGGGGGAAAATATCTGTTAATGCTATGAGCTAAGACCTCTTACTGCATACTGTATTATCAGCAGCCAGGAGGACTGCCCAGGAAATCCAAAGGATTATCTTTTACTCCTAAGCAGATCACAAATATCCCTAGAATAAAGCTACTTAAATTCTAAATAGACTCTTCTTTCAAAAGGAGAAGCACTCGAGAAAACTCTTATTATAATCCATTATCCCCTTTTTGCCAGGTGAGCTGTGGTACATTAATATGCTGGCATGGAGAGAGTTCACCTCCTAGACAATGAAGCAAATTCTGATGTGGGATACTCAAAATGAGAGTAGGAGTAGGGCTAGAAAACACCAAAAGGAACCCTAATTAACCACAAAAGTGAAACAAACAAAACTGGAGCCTCAATGATCCCTGGAAAGAACACGTAAGGTGCTTTATTAAACATTTCCAGAAATTATTTTAATAGAAATATACGCATGATATAAAATTCAAAAGATAAAACTGGTCTGTTGAAAAGTTGAGTCTCTCCCCTCTAACTCCCAGTCACCCAGTTTCCTTCACAAAGGCAACCACTGTTAACATTTTCTTGTTTTTCCTCCTTTTGGAAGGAAAAGGAAGATACATACATATATACACATACATATACACCCATGTTATTTTTCACTGAAGTGAAAATATGTATACATAATTTTTTGCATTTGCTTTTTCCTTTAATATTAAATCTCGAAGTGATCCATTTTGGTATGTTTATAGAGTTTCCTATTCTTTTTGATGGCTGTATAGTATTCTACTCTAAAGATTGTATTAATACCATATTTTATTTATGCAGCTCCCTATTAGATAAAGAAATAATAATCAACCTTTAATTATAACCAATCTTTTGCATTTAAAAATAACGCAACAAATGTCCTTGTACGCTTCTCTTGTCACCCATATGTTAGTATTTTTGTAGGACAAATATGTAGATGTGGAATTGCTACATCAAAGGATTCATATCAGGATAGGCTTAAGAAATAGAGAATAAAATTTATTCTCAATTTTCTGCATTTCTCATCTCTCCACTCTGAGACCAGAAAGAAGAAAAATGAATTTGTTAGTGCTAAAAGATATGCTCAAAAGAATTAGTGCTAAGTTCGTCTGTCCTTTAGGAATAAGCTTGATTATTTTATTTTAGCAAGTTGTCTGGCAAAACCTAGCATGTGTTCATACTACATTTGAAAAGACTTACCTCACAGTGCTCTCTATAAAGACTCTGCAGTGACTTGATATCCTCAAAGGTAGTACCATCTGGCAGAGAAGAGATTTCAACTTCTCCAAACTCTGGAAGTGCTCGAGATGCATCTGTTACCATGACAACAGAACAGAAAAAAGCTATTGTGTATGGTGCCAATTACAGATTAATGAGGGAAAATTTAAGAAGACCAAAAAGAAAAACAAATTTTAAAGGTCAGGGGTCCAGAGAGCAAGGACTTTTTATATTAATATTTTACAAGTAAAACTAAGCACCATCATCAGCACAAAATATAAAACTGAAGGGAACACTTAAGAATTTTCTAGAAACAAAATCTGCACTACAATTTTACTGCAAATAGTATACTGCATATCACAGTTTCTCTCAACACAAGGCCCCTATTAAAAGAAAAATATCTCGAGTTTGCTAGTACCTATTTTAGATATTTTTATTATGTTACTTAACTACATAAAAAAACTAGCTTTAAAATCATTATGTTCTTAACTGTTACAGAGTTATAAACCTAAAGAGCTACAAAGCGGATACAAAGAAAACTACAAAAATAACATACAACTTAACAACATTAATTTGATGTGATGGATGATGCTCTTGTCCTGTAACTAGGTTATCTCTTGCAACAAGGATCAGTATTGACTGCTGCAGCAGAGGATCTTTTGGTTCTGACAGGTCTATACCAACATGTGCTTTGTGGTGGCTGCTTCTCCCATTACTCTTCTATGCACAAATGACTGTGAAACTTTCCTCCACACAGAATACAGGGACATGATCTAGGCTTCCCTTGTGAGGGAGGCATAATTTACATAGTAAGTCTCTCTCTCTGTTCTTTTCTTATTAGCTCTGGACAATTAATGTAAGACATTTTGGTGCCTATCTTATCATAAATCCAGGTACAAATATGGAAACTAAAATTGCAGAACGGTATTTAGTTCTAGTTTTCTAAGTAATCCAGAATATTCTTAGTTTTTAAGATGATAATTGAAGTGAAATCACAAAATAAAATTCTTGTTGAATGACCAAGGGTCCCCAAGAATATAACCCGAGGACTTCAGTCTGAGAAATGCTGCCATGATGTTTTCAACTTCAGTAATGATTCCAATCTGAGAGTCTATTTTAGTTGTCTTTGTCAGAAAGTGCACATAGACACATATACACACACACAGACACATACACACAGTCACTCTCTGATAGCTTCTACTTATCTTGACTCGTTATATGGAAAATATGCATGTTCATCTCTAGAAGAGCTGTCAATTAAATTAAAGTGCCACTTTTTTGCCCCTTTGGCTATGGCAAAAATATGAAAAATATGCAAGTTTTTCTTCCTAACTCTTTCAATAACAAGAAATATGTATTCCATCTTTAAATTACAAAAAGAAAGTACTGTGATTAATTTAAATGAATAAATTACTTTTAAAAAGTTTATAAAAAATTTTTTTCTAATCTGAGCCTGTGCATATGTAACGTTATACACAGGAAATGAGAATTCTTTTTGGCACTTGAAGTTACTACTGAAAGTAAACAACATAATTTTGATCACAAAAGCCAATTAATACAAATTCTGGAAAACAATTTCATAGCAATGAGTCTTTAATTCATATGCATAAAAGTCCTATACAGCTTGAGATTTTTAAAAATAAGCTCTAATAAACACGAAAGGCAGACATGAACTAGGACTGTTATACATATGATGTGCATAATTTTGGCACCAAAAAAATCTTTCTATGTCATTGACATCTATAATAGACATTGCACTTGGAGAAAACACTACCATTGTTCTCTTTTCAAAATCCTAGTAGCAACTAATATGCATTACACCTTAACATACCTAAAAACTGTTGATGATGTTGGCTTTGGGCAATTACAGTTTGCTCAACAGATGTGCCTGTCTGTTGACCACTTCCTGTGAAACCATCTGCAACCCCATCCACTTTCTGCATAGGCTTGTACCTAAAAATATTAGATGGAAAAAAACAAATAAACCAAATTATTCCTTGCTTTTTTGTACTACCCGAAACTTCCAAAGCATTCAGTTTCATACTATCTTCTTTAATGTCTCATGATAGTTGTAGGATTTTTTTTCCTTGATAGTCTCATAAAGTTAGAATGCAATATTTTTTTTTCAATTGTGAAAAGAAAAAAGGGGGAAAGGGGTGCATGGAGGGTACCCATTTTTGGAAATCCAGAAATTTACCTAAGAATGAAAGAATTATAAGGTATTTCTTTGGACAGCAGGAGCAAAGATGTCCATGATTAAGTTTTAATACACAGCTTGAAAGTAACTTTTAATGGCCAATGGATATATTGGAACTTTAATCTGAACAATGATCTAGGAGCTCAGGCCTGAGAAATGTTGATGAATGGCTTTCAATTAGATAATATCTCTAAAACATGATCAACCTACAAATCCTATCATATTGTTTTTCATATTTCCTAGAACCTTTTGTGCATCTCAACACATTTATCTCCATGACACTTATCAACATCCTCAAATACAAAGGCCATAAGCATCATTTTGTAGCAAAATATATGCAAGAATCCACCTACAAACAGAGTTTATCAAATTAAAATGAAGAATCAAAGTCAGCTAAAGTTATGTATCTTTAGATCCTAGTCATACGAACTTATGTACTTTCCATACAGCTAAAAGAGAAAAAATGTGCTTTAGTGGCATGGGGAAGAAGGAAGATGTCTTGGAAAAGAAGTATCATACACCAAAAAAAAAAAAAAAAAACCTGGCCAAGTCTCCTAGGATAAGCAAAACAAAATAAGTAAGCAGCAACTGTAATTTCTTCTTTTTCTCTGATTCCACTTATTTTTCTTCATTTCAGAAATTTGGAAATAACAGAAAAGCATAAGAAAAATTAAAATCTAAAATAAACTTACTATCTAGAGATAACATTGACATTATGCTGTCTGGCCTCCCATTCTTTTTTTTTCCCTATTTCTAATTATATTTACAAACAAAATAAACTAATATTCTCACTATCCAGACACTTGACCCCTATACTGATATTATAATTCAACTGCATCATTAATATGAAGTTACTATGAATAACAATACCCCTAATATATGAACAAGACATACTCAAAGACACCTGCATGCTGACACCAGATATGAAGTGACTGAACCTGGCAGAACATCATACAAACTAATGCTCAGCTTGCTTTAGGAAATGAATCAATCTTGGATGTTATCAATTACAACTCAGATAAATGAAACTTTCAAAAAATTGCCAAATCTCTCATAATGACATTTACATGTATTTCTTATGTGACAATATCTTACAAACAACTATGAAAAACAAAAAATAAAGTCAGAGGGGGAAGAGACTGGAAATCAGTACGGCACTCTTCATCCTTATGAATATAATTTTAGTGATGACTCCTCATTACCAAAAAATTGATTGCTGTTTTCTAATGAGAGAAAAGAACTCATGCCTAATCTTTTATTTAATAGAAAAACCTTCTGGGAGGTGCTTTACAACTGGGGCCATATCCAAAGATAACAGAAGAGTTAGTGTTGTGATGTGCTATATGTCTTGTTTATAAAAAATTTAATGTTTTTCTGATTTTTTTTTCCTCCTTAAAGAATCATCTTTGAGAAGCAAAGAAACTTTATGAAGCAAGCACTTTGTGTACATGTATGGTAGAGCAATTGCTAACCATTCTGTTGTAGCAGATTTGAATGATTTTAACCTTATTTTGTTCAGGAAAGTTTCTTGTCCTTATTGATTCATTCCAAGTTTCAGTTGATTTTAGCTTCCCCTTTTCAGCTATGGAATTGTATCTCATTAATAAAATAGCCTAAAATTGTTTAACCATGTTTCTTCATTTAAGTTAATGGAATTTGGGATTCATGGAGCTTAAATAAAAGTGTTATGTTAAAGGAATTTGAATTATTAATATTTACCCTGAAGAAGGAAAAAATGAAAATAATTCCAATAGACTTCAATTACATTAAGTTTTAATACAGGATTGTAAAGTTATTACAAGACTTTGCCTAGTTATGCTTTGCCCCACATTTCTTTGTCCTACACAGCATTTAACATACTACAGATGCTTAATAGGCACAAATATCAAGGGCAAATGGAATTTAACTATAAAAGAAAATGACTTATATTCCACTTAGACTAAGTTTTCAAAAGACAGATGTTACATCACAATCTAACTGCACACAATGCTTAGGAAGACTATAGCCTACAAGCAAGATTGTCTGCTTCCTTAGGAAGATGGAGACAGCTGTTAGTATTGCAAATGGAAGTTCCTAATGAAAGGAGAGATTATAGTTTTAATAAGGAATCAAAATCATGATGCATCATAATTAACATATGATTATACTTAATGATACTGAGTGGGAAACACTAATTAGAGATAAACTATATTATGTGGGAGATGAAAAATGCATCAAGATCAACTTTCAGGGGAAAAAAGGAGGTAAGTTGGTAAATTCTGGAGAAACTACGCAGGTCAGTACTTAGGAAAAGATTTTATAATACACAGTAGAAATAAAGAAAAACAAAGAAAATATATTAAAACTTGGAAATGAGTGTTTTCATTCTAACCACAAGAGTAAGGGTAGCAAGGTGAACAGTGGATTGAAAGATGGACAAAGATTGAGCAAAGACACAATATGTGCATCCATTCTTGGCTGCTTGGCTACAGGACCTCTGCAAGCCAGAAGCGTATGTTATGCCTCCTGGGAAAAGGTCGAGGGATAAAGTTTAGGATGGGTTTGTGCCATAAAGAATGACATCAAGAAGGTAATATGGAATACAGCTCATGTACAAGAGGGCTAATGTGAGCCTGTAAGTATGAGAGAGCTTCCAGGTAGTGCTAACTTTTGCTTTTCCTGCTTTAAGTAATGAATCATGTCGTGGTATTTCTGGCAATGGATTAGAACTTAGAAAAAATCCCTAGAAATCAGAAATAATGGACTGAGAAAGCCTAGATCCTCATTTTTATGGTACCCTAACTAAGGAAAATATCTTATCCCTACCCTCACCTCAGAATTTTGTGTCTTCCCAAAGAAGGAGGGAGTTTAACAGGAAGTCAAGAACAATTACATTAAAAATAGGCTAAACAAATACCGGTAGCAAGTGATTCTTCTCAGAAACAGTGGTTGTAGATTATATATCACTGGTTTTGAAATCTAAGTGCATATCAGTATCTAGGTAGTTTCTCAAAAAATTCAGGTGCCTAGGCTCACCCTAGACCCACCCCCAAAATATCTGCGAGTGGAGCTTAGGAACTGGTTATTGTAACAAGTCTCTGAGGTATTTCTTAAGTAGGTTGTACAGCCCTAGTCCATAGGAGGCTGTTGGTCCCAAATAGATTCCTTCAGCCCAATGTTGTAGAAATACATCAAATAATATTTTTTTTAAAAACCACATCATTTAAATAAAATAAGTCATCAATTTTTAATTTTTCTCAAAAAACTGTATTTGGAATGTACAATAAATATATTTGAATGAATAAATGTTTAAGGTAACATGCTTGATTTTATCATATCATCAACTGATTTTGTACATATATCAAATCAATTTAACAAATATTTATTGAGCACATACTGTATTATGGGTAGGCCACTATAGGCACATGGTTTTTAAAATGCTGGGTATAAAAATAATTTTTCCAAGATGTCTTTTACATTCTGTTGGCTCACATAATAATTCTACATTATGTTAACCTTGGTTGAATTTCAACTGACATTTTAGCATTGAAACATGACATGTAGATTTTCTGACTCTCTATACTCTTCATAAAATAATCACCGTAAACTTTATCAAATCTACCATATGTGGAGAATAAATTAAAAAAAACAGGTGAGCTTTCTGTTGGGAAAAAAAAAAAAAAGCCAAACAAAAAACCCTTTCTGTTGAATCCTTTAAAAATACTGAATTTTTAAATATTTAAGAGTATTTTCCTCCCTTTACTTCCATTTACTTTACAAATTAATTATTTTTAGATTCGGTTTACCCAGAGTAAACTCTTAGTACTCTTGCATTGTGTGTGCTCTGAGAAAGACCTGTGCTTTATCAAATAATGAAACAGCTCCTGGTTTCAAAATTAGTAAGAGGCAAATGATAATTTTAACAGCTTGGAACTCTATGGGCAATCAGTGCTAAAGTTGTTAATGATTAAGAAATAAAAGAAACTCTAATGCTTTAATAGCTGACTGTATGCATAAAATCTGTCATTAACACAGAAAAATTAGAAAATAATTAGGAATCTTCCTCCATGGGGTTAGTCATAGCTGCCATTTAGGACTTGGAGAGTTGTAACTCTATTGTAAAAGTAACATTCTGTCAGTCCCACACACATGGATACTAAAACAGTCCAATGGAAGGCAAGAATGGTACATATTTACCATTACATTCAACTAACAACACCAGGGGGAAGGATTTTCAACAGATTAAATGAAACATTTGGAAAATCCTTTCAAAATGGCTGAAAAATGCACATGCAAAACACAAAATATAAACTGTACAGGCAAAAGGAATCATCATTATGTTTTGTAATTCCAGAAATTACACAATCATTTTATTTGCATGAATAAATTGAAATACTGAGCTCAGAACAAGGTCAGGAGGCTAGAATTTTCTACTGGAATACTGTAATCTTCTTTGGAAAAAAACTGTCCCAGAAAGTCTTTAGATGACTTCATGTCTGAAATGAACCAAGTGATATAAACACTAATGGATCAGAAGAAAATAGTAAATATGAAGAGTTCCATTCTTTTAGAATAGTAACTAACTTTGATGTCACAATGAATATATTCATAATACATCCAAATGACTTTTAACATCAACCCTGCTGGTTAATATAGGTATCCCATCTCTTCAATTCTTATTGGTGGCTCTCTATTTGTCTCTTCATTAGCTTTACATCTATAATTGGGCAAGAAGAGGTAGAAACAATTAAATTGAAACGGGCTATATGTTAATTGC